CATTTTGTTATGCAGAATATCACAGAGAGGTGTACTCAAGAATTTCAAGGTTGAATTTAATAAAATTAGTTTTCCTAGCTTCTTAAAATTGCAGCTAAAGGCAGTGAGGAATTCAGTGACTGCTAATCGAGTTTGGTTCCATTGTCTTGATTCTTGCTTAGGTGTAAATAGTGTAAATAGTTTTATCCATCATTACTTTTGCATGATTAAATTTCAATACAGCAAGAAGAGGCAAATAACATGTTAATAGTACTGTGAGCTTTTAAAATAACACCTTTTCCCTTTATAGTTATTGGGGAAATAAATTACTTAGTGATTTCCTGTAAAGAGTCAATCAACATCAGTCAATGAATATATGAAAAGCAATCAGTATTTTACAATAAATGGATTAACAAAATACAAAATTTAATAATATCCTTGTGACAGTGAGATGTAGAGCAACTAAAACTTATACTTTCTTGGTGAAAGTGTAAATTGTTATAGCCATTTTTGGAAAATATTTTGATATTACTAATGTAATTGAATACACACATACATTATGATTTAACAGTTCCACTTCTGGGTATATTCCCTGGTCCTTGCTAGTCACAGTAGCCAAGTTTATATAAAACAAACAAAAACAAACCTGGAAACAAAAATTGAACTGCCCTCAGACTAAAAAAATCCCTTTGTGGCATATAAATTTAATGAAATCTTATACGGCAGTAAAATGAATCAACTATAGTTATTAAATCTCATGAACACAGTGTTGAACAACAGAAAACAAATTACAGAATTCACAAGAATCACCATTTCATAAATTTAAAATATGCAAAACAAATTATTTTCTTAAAAGACATACATATATCTTTGACTAATCTGTATAATGAAAACCAAGGGAATATAGAAACAACATTCAGGATAGCAATTATCTTTGTAGTGAGTGTGATGTGTCAGCCCATGGATGAGTATAGTACCACAGGTACTTAAAAAATCTACGTGGACACATTAGTGTTCATTTTATTATTACTTTTTAACTTGCAATATATTACAACTACTTACATATTTAATAACCAATAAAAACAATGCCAAATGTTAAAAAATCAATAAAGGACTAGAGTTATTTAATTAGTAGCTCACTGTGGTAACTATCCAATTCTATAAATAATTTCATGCATCTGTATCATTATGTTGAATAGAAATTAATCCACAGATAATTGGATAATCATCCCGAAAAAGGCTGGGAAGATTGGTAGAGAATATTGATCTGTTGTACAGTGGCTATTTCTATTTGCAGGGTAAAAAATTTTCAAACAAAAATTTAATGTTTTTAGAAGTTTCTCTTCTAGGCAACTTCCTTGTACCTTCTTCCTGGAGTATTCTTTGTCCAAATTTTTTTTATCATGTGTGTCTCAGTTTAAATCTTTCTGAGAGTCTTTTCCTGGTAGGACACAAAGTAGGTTCCCTATTTGTGCACTCTTATAAGTATCCTATAATTGTTTTTCACAATATGTATAAATTTTTCATACCACCTTTAACAGCTTTCAGTAACACATTTATGAGACTGATTATTCTATTAGTGCCTTCCTGCAGTGGAGAAGTAAGGGACAGAAGGGCAGAAATGCAATTGATGTTTGTCTATTGAGCTTTTACCCAGACACTTTGCTGAATTATTTTATTGATTCCAGTATCCTTAGATTCATTTGGCTTGCCCATGTTTATAATCATTTTATCAGAAAAAAACAGCTTTGCTTGTTCTTTCCAGTTCTTACACTTTTTATTTTAATTTTAATGCCTAAGACCTCCACTACAGTACTGAATAGATTAGAGCAGTTTCCAAACAATGACTTGTTTCCAATTCTAGAGATATAAATTTGAACATTTCACTCTAAGTATATTTGTTGTATTCTTTGTAAATACCTTTGTTACATTAAGAAAGTTCACCTCTACTTCTAGTTTTCTGAGAGTTTGCATTATAAATAAATGTTGTATCATATAAAACATTGCACAGGTATTCATTATTTTTTCTCCTGTTTTCTGTAAATAAGTTGAATAACATTCCTAGAACAGTTATTATTCTTGGTATAAACTCAACTAAGCTAATCCTTTAAAATTGTCACAGGCTATGTTAATGTTTTGCTTTGGGTTTTTGTATCTTTATTCAGTGATACTGACTTGTAATTTTTCTTTCTTGAAATATGCTTTCAGGTATTGATACCAAGGTTATGTTGACCTTATAAAGTTACTTGGAAAGTATATATATTTTTTTATTTTCTGAAAATGTTGGTTTTACTTATTTATTAAGATTTTGTTAGAATTCACCATTAAGGACGTTTTACCAGTAGTTTCTTTGTGGGGATCTTATTATTTATGTTTTGAAAATTTAGATTTTCTATTTCTTCTTGTGTCAGTTTGGTAATGTGTGTAGTTGTTTATCTTATCTAAATTTTTTAATTTATTGGTATGAAATTGTTCATAATATAGTATTTCCATGTTTTTATGTCTGTGGGATCTGTGATGAAGTCTTTCATTTCTGATATTATTTCTGCCTTGTATTGTTCTTGATCAGTTTTTTTGCCAAGTTCATTAGGTTATAGTTTTTAAAAATTTATTAGATTTTTAAATAATTAAATTTTTGTATTATTGTTCTGAAAGATACTTTTCATCTTTATTATGTACTTCTACTTATTTTGGATATAATTTGCTTTTCCCCTCACTTCTCAAGGTGGATCCTAAGCTAATAGATTATCAATGTTTCTTTTATAAAAATACATGCATTTAAAGCAATGTATTTTTTTTGAATTAGTTTTATCTATACATTTTAAATTTACCCTATGAAAAATCCTTAGGATGATCAACTGAAAATAAGGGTCAGTAAGGTATCTTATTACTAAGGTAAAAGGGAAAAATAATTTTTCTATACAATCACAATGACCAGTTGAGCCAAATTACAGGAAAAGAGATCCTAAACACATTAGATACAGAAATGTTATTACATCTATACAACTAACATCATAATATAAATATCACATAGTTTGGAACAGTCTTATGGAACAAGTAGAAGTTATATATATTTATACATATATGTATATATATTGTATATTTTATTTATATATATATATTTCATATACATATAAGAAAAAATCTTTAGAGACCTGAGAATAACACAAATAATTCAATTATCAAATTAGAGTCACAAGAATCAGAGATTTTACCCAATATCAAACTTTGCTAAAAATTAAAATGTATAGGTCATTGTGAAACACAGAAACATGCAGAAGACTGCGATTACCAAAATAGTTCCCCAGAAAAAATCCCCATAGCCTCCAAGGCTCAATGCTCAAGGCTTATCTTGCCTGCCTGCACATTTAGTAACTTCTCATAAAATGATTCTGAATTTTGTATGACTGAATTTTTTTAGACTATACAATTACATTATTGCTAGTTTTACTATATAAATATACTGGTGGGGATTATTTTCTACCATTTCCTGGAAAACATATGACACAATTTAATCAATTAATCAACTAACATATATGACTCTCTATTTGTTCCTGTTGCTTTTGGTGGATTGTCATCTTCTAGGCCTCAAATGGCTTAAATATCCCTGGGAGACTATTCTGAATCCTTTGGCTAACTTGAGATTTCCAACACAGAGTCAGGAATTACAGGAATCTCCTGCCTTATGCGAACATGAGGAACTTTGGCCAGAAGTAGACTGGGTCTATGGGGCCTCTCCACGTTTCTGCCATAAAGTCTGCATTATCTACCTCCACCTTGCCTTCTAGTCCATGGACCTTTCTTCTTTGGAAGATAAGAACTTTATTGATTTGCATTTGAGAATCAGAGCTTGGTGGAGAAAAGCAACCAATTGCTTTGTATTTGAATTCTCATCATTGCTGAGTTTACTGTACTAATATTTACAGAAGTAACTAGGGATAGAGTTTTAAGTAGAGTTCTAGGTCTGATGGATGGAGTCGCTGAGGTTCTGTGATGGAATGGGAAATGGATTTTGGCCTTTGATTTTATCTTTTTAAGTTATGCTAGGGTATCTTTATTATATATATATGTTGGATAAGTAAGTTTTACTATTAAGCTTTAATATACAGATAGATTAAAAATAGCTTTTTCCGACTCTACTTACTATAAGTGATTAGAAAAATTATGTAAACTCTTTAAGCTTTAGTTTCCTCATCTTATAAATGGGGGATAATAACGTTTATTTCACAAGGTCAATGCTAATAAGATACGTGTATATAATGTTTAGTAGGGTTGCAAGCACATCTAAGGACTCAAATATATGTTAGATATTGATATGATGATTTATTACTATTCACATTTTACTTACTTAATTGAAACAAATTATTTCCATGTACATAATTAAAAGTGACGAATCTATGATTGTTTGGGTTTTTATCATCTCCTCCACTATCTTTTTCTTGAGGGTGGACAACATTAGATTTCTTGGTCTTAGGTTTTCAGTGATCTCTTAATAGGAATGCCTGGAGCTGGAAAAATGAATGGGAAATGTCTTTCATTCATACATCTTCTTGGGGATTTAAGTGTGTAATATACTATAGACAAGAAAAAAGAATGGCAGCTGCTTTCAGGATGTTCATAGTCTACCAGTTGAAAATAAAAGTTTAAAAAAAAATAAAAGTTTTATCATGGCTGCAAAAAAAAAAAAGGGTAAGTGCATGGGTATAAAGAAAAAGGTGTTAACCAATGACTTGAAATATTTCCCTAAATTATGTGCACCTAATTTATTTTGAAAGATGTTTCAATCACTTAGGATATCAAATTCTGTATGTAGAAAATATTTTATATATGCTGATTTTCAGTCTTAACAGTGGTGTGTTCAACTACACTACTGATGATTGGGAAAAAACTCAGGCATTGAAAAGGAATATATATTAAAATGCCAAATTATCTCAAAACAGTACATTTCTACTCTTGATAATAGTTTGTGTCAGTAATTTTTGTACAATATACAACACCGTATATACTGTTTCCTTGTTCAGAAAACCTACTGAAGACACAGAAGAAAGTTCACTGCAACAACCTGTTGAAGATTCTCACGATATAGCTGTCCATATTAAAAAAATACATGGTGGCCATACTTTCTATGGGCCAAAAATATCTGAAGAGAAGTTAGTAGAATACCTGGCTATCTTAAAGAAATTGTAAGTAGTTTTAATATATTGCTTCCTGTAGTTGAATAATTCTTTCAAATAGCTTTTTTTGTTTTAAGTTAGTTGTTTGCAGTTAAGTGTACTTTAGTTGTAATCCAGCACAAGTGACTGATTCAGGAATGCTAGAAATACAGGAGACTGTTTCTAAATGAAGGCAATCTTCATCAATTCTTCATGGCATATCACAGATATGTTGGTAGTATATCCAATTGCTGCAGCACATCGTTTTAATTTTAAGTTGCAAGCAAAACAGGGTTATTTCCTGATTATGTTAAGTCAAAATTATGCTTAAGATTTCATTAGTTTATAGTTACTTGTCAGCTCTTCACAGAATTTAAACTCTTTTCCCCATCACAGTCTTTAAATAAACTCACCTCATTTTCTCTTTAATTTCCTGGAGTGCTTCCTACTGTGATTGGGGCACAAGTCCCTGGAGAAGGAGGAGAAGAAGGGGATTCAATCTGGGTGGAGGCTGGTTACCAGAGATGGTATTGGGTTTGTGAATAAAATTACAGTTGGAAAGAGACCATGGGAAAATGTGTTATTGGAATTGAGATTGATAGCTGAAACAAAACCAAGAGTAAAAGTGTCATGACTTACAGTTGTACCTGAAAGAAAGACCAGTAGCATGGAATAAGAAGTTAAAAATCTGGCATTTATGTTTGGAGGAAAACATGAAGAATTCTATGCTGTTAACAATTATCTTCAAAATTGTAATTGCAAATTTGAGAAAATTTCATCAGAGCCTATAGGAAATTGGAGAATGGTCAAATTTCTGATGCTTTTACTTATAATAACAATGACAAAAAACCCAAGAAAATACTAGTCATTCTAGAGGAAAACAGGTGTGAGGGAACTGTAGAGAAGGAAATTGTAATCACCTGCAGTACAGGGGTATAATTAAAGTGGTAAGCTGTAAAAATAGGAAATTTAACTTGAATGTGTTTGTCTTGCCAATGGGTTTCAACCTCAGGCAAGTTCATTATGGTTTCAATGTGACCTAAGGAATGACAGTAGAACGTTCTTGGGGTGAAAGGGTTTATTATCCAGTTTGGTCTCAGCGGTAGGATGAGCACTAGCTTCTCTGCCTCCGCGCAGAGCACTGGGCCGAGCTCTCTATATCTTGCCTAAAGGTGTGGAAGCGCTACCCTAGCAACAGGCCAGTTACATCATCAAGTGGTTTAAGTTCAGTGAGGATCCTGGCCATAGGAACCCCAACCTCACTTCCCCACAGTGTTAAAATATGCTTAGGTAGAAAATCACTAAAGCACTGAAAGTTATTAGTGCTATAGGGTGGTACAGCCACTTTCATTCCATTAAACCATACTGTTGACCAAAATTCCACTGGATTAAAAAATTGAAGTGTCTAGAAACCCTTGAGTCACTCCTTGCTGATTTTGGATTGTGCTGTGCTGTAGGACTTTCATTGGTGGTGTAATCCCTATGTTTCTGAAAATAACAAGGTAGCAGTTTCCAGATAACATCTGATCTGAGATGCAGAAAGAGCTCAAGTGGCTAAGTTATCAGTCAAGTCAAAACAGTATGAGGTAAATCTAGGTTGAAGTCAAGGTGTATTAGCTATATTTGGTAACATTATAATCTCTTTGTGACTTTTAGTCACATTTGAGATGGGATTGTATGCTTTTTGTACCCACACAAAAGTAGTTCAGCTAAAATCTGTTTACTGATGGATAAGTTGTCATGTCTGTAGCCCTCTGTTTATCCCTAACTGTATCATAATCAGATCAATGGGCTGTGATTTGAACACATTTTAAAAAAATAGCTACCTTATACTTTCTAAGACTCTTCACTTTGTACCTTCCTGAAATTTTAACAAACAGAAATTTTGAGCAATGATAACTTCTTTTTAAACAAATGCAAATATGCTTGACAAGGCTAAAAAGCTTGATTATCATTGATTATTGATAACTTGGTTGATGTAGCTTTAATAATATTGATTACTTCTACTTTAGATCAGCAGATCAGAGTAAACAGTGCTAGATGGGAAGGAGGATAAGTTATTTTGAAACATTAAAATTATTGGAAAGGGCACATCTGGGAGATGTCACCAGAGAAGAAGGGTTTGAAAACATAACTAATCGACACAGTGATTGGGATGTGTGTGTAGAGAAAAGAGAGAGGGAGAAATGAGAGAGAGAAAAGAGAGTTGGGAGACTTTCTGTCAAATTTTCTATTTTAAGGCATGTCATATTGAATATAGCTTATCCATATATATTAGTTAGGATTTTGGATTGTAAGTAACAGAAACTGATTCTAGTTAATTAAGAAAAAAAATCAAGAAAAGGGTAGGGGAGAGAGAGGAAATCTATGGAAATATAGTGAATGGCTCCCCAAATGGGAGAACTACTAGATGCTAGAGATGATGTGAACTAGAGCACCTCTGGATGTCTCTTAGAGGTACAAAATTGAAATCAGCTATGGCTATTTTTGATTGGAAGTTATTAGGCTCATATTTCAATTTCAGGAATAGAGAGATTGTTGTGGTCTGTTTTTGTAGTAATTTTCTTGGATAAATGCTGACAGGGCAGAACTCTTTGACAGTTTCACTTAATTTAAATTCAATTGGTAAGGAAGGGCATTTCAAAAGAAGATATTTCAGGAGGACGGAGAAATTGATTATGAACAAATAACATTAAAAACTATGAGCTAAAATGACTTAGAATTAATTTATAAATAATTTTGAGTGATTTTATTTTTCATCCATTAATTAATGAATTCAGCATACACTTTTGAACTCCTGTGTTTCCTCCAGTGATACTCTTGGTATGGGGACTGCAATGGTGAACACATCTTTCTCCTTGTAGGGAACTTACATTCTAATGTAAGAGAGTGAGATAATAAACATACAAGCATTGTGTCAAGTAGTGATAAGTGCTAGGAAGAAAAATTATTGCAAAATAGGGGGTAGTGCATGATGAAAATGATCAGAGAAGTCCTTTCTGAAAGTTAACATTGACCACATAATTTAGTGAAATGATAGAGTTAGCTAACCAAATATCTTGGAGGAGTTTATTCCAAGCATAGGAAACACAAGGGCAAGAGCCCAGGATGGCAACATGTTTTGCGAACTGAAAAAGAACAAGGAGATCGGTTTTTTGAATGTGAATGAATGAGTGAGAAGAGTTGGTGGAAATGAGGCTTCAAAGGTAGCCAGGAACCATATAATCATTTGGGCCTTGTAGGCGATGGTAGGTTTTTAATCTTGGTGTGATTGGCAAAATGGGAGTGACACATTATGATTTACATAGTAATGGTGTGAATAGCTGGCTGTGGTTGCCAAGAGGAAATTGGGGATGACCTGTTAGGAAGCTATATGGGATTGGTCTAGGTGAGAGACAAGTGTCATATGGATTCTGTTTTAGGGAGTTTGATTTGACATGAAAATTTTATTTTATTACTTTTTTAAAGACACAAGAGATTTTCATTTGGGAGACATGGAAGCACATCAGATTCTTTGCTCAACTTGACCACTAATAAGGAAAACACTGGGAAAATCATCCAATGCTCTTACATGTTTGCTTTTGATTACATTGCCTATAAAACCATCAGTTTTAAAATGCAATTATGAATTTCTTTGGTAAAAATAATTGGTTTCTTTATAAATAACTAATTTCTGGAAAAAAAGTGACATATTTGTGTATTTTTGGGGGTTGTGGAAAGGGTAGGAGAAGAGACAAAATTATAAATAAGCTGTGAAAAGCAGTTTAAGATCCTCTGAGAAAACTTGGCCCAGTTGTTTTTTTCTCCTACTTTCTCCAATTAAAGATGTTTCCTTTGAGGGAATGAGGCATCTAAAGATCATTATGTTTCAGTGGAGCAGTGATGCAAAGCCCTTCTCAAGAATGACTCAGAGGAATTGCTCCCTGGAAGGACATGAGGATTTTTATTTCTTAGATTCAGTCTGTTTAAAGTCCAAATGCAATATGGTTCTCACACTATTGTTTTCTAGTGAAGTGACATATGAGATGAGGAATTACAATCTCAAAGTGTATTTTAGGGCTATATAGTGATGAGAGGAAAACACTTTGTTGAGATTAATTCTGTTAAAAATACAGAGTTTGTATGAAAACCAAGTAAAATTGTTATTCAGTTTGGTGGGGGTGGCTCTCCTTTAGCTAAGAAAAGTCTTTATTTGAAGCTAAAAGGGACCATTGGTTAATGAGTGATAAGAAACAGCGATCATTTATGATATATGAATGGGAACTAAAGGAAGAGAGTTATTTGTGTTAAAGAGATCAGTTATCAAAGGACAGAAACTAGCGACTAACTGACAGCAGATTGACATTATAAAGAATAAGGCTTTGAATTTGGTCTATCTATGACAGTGAAACTCAATGTTGCATTGAGGATGCCCATGCTGTTAAATGCCTGGATATTGGAGTCAGAAAGAAGTGAGTTCTGAACTGGAGTCCTACTATTACTAGTTGTATGATCTTTGGCAAATTCTACCTCTTCATACATAATTCACTAATCTTTAAAGTAGGCATACTTATTAACCTCATAGGAACATTGTTGTTGTGAAACCTAAATGAAGTTTAAAATGTAAAGCCCCAAGCATATTACTTGGTCCATCATAGGCCCTTTGTACATACCAATCTTCCCTTTTCTGAAGAATCTTTCATATTTTGATAGCTTTTTGCATAAAAGACTTTGCTGAAGTATAAAAGAGTTCCTAGTATCTAGAATAACAGTGGGTTCCATTTTTGAATCCTTCAAGAGAAAAAATATGTAAATTTATCTTACAGTTTATGAATAAGTAATAGCTATTAATTACATTAATTTACAAAGTTGCCAGTAATATTTTTATACTGTCACTTCAGAGGGGAAGATATGTTCCTAGCCTGGGCAAATAAACCTTTGATAGCAAAATCAATCAAAGGGAGAAATAAAGTGGGAGAAACCCATTTATTGCTTATAAGCAGTCATCTAATTCTGCTTATCCATGTCTCCCGCAACATGTCTGAGAAGGA